TAGTTCAGTTTCTCAGTAATTCAATGGTAAAACATCTAATTAACATTCATGAGATAATGGGTTCGATTCTCCTCTGTAAATAAGGCGTTCTGTCCGTATACCAATATAGTTGCTTCCTCATATAAGAATAAAAACGATAGGCATTTATTTTTCTCTTCCTTCCCTTTCTCATAGTTCAATCAGTAAGATTTTTCAAGATTCAAATCACACCTAATATGCAATAATCAATGACCAATTTAATGGTGAAAAAGTTCTAATAGAAGTACTTAAGAGATGTTTGACAACTCGATCAAGCATGCTGTCAAATAGCAATATTGACCATAGGTGGATAACTTAATTCCTTTTCTATTCAATTGAATTAACAATTCACAAAGGATATGAATGGATGGTTGAAGAAGAGACACCTACACCTATGTTTCCTCAAAATAGTTCAATAACAATTTATCACTTGGGGATCTTTTCTAGTCAATTAAAACGTTTTCAAATGAGGTTGAAACTCATATGGATGAAAGAAGTACCGACCTACAGATATTTAGTGACTCATACATCCCCTATTATCACAAATCTATTAAACAATGGACGTTGGAATTACTCATTTTTGGATAATTCAAAAAAGAGTAACTTAGTTTCCTCTCTCTCAAAAATTCCATAAAAGTTAGCTTCATGCGAAGCTATTTTTGTTTCCTATTGGTTCTTTTGTTATCGTGCTCGTCTGCATCCGAAAAATTTTGAGAATAACTATTCAATTACTCAAATGTAAACAATTACCTTTCGATGATGATGATAGAAAAGCACTACTACCATTTCGTATGAGTGACGACGACATATGTTTGCTTTATAGATGAAATCTAGAAGGAAGAAGAATTTGAATGGAAATAGCGATAACTTTTTAGCTATTTCTCAAAAGAAGGATATCATCCACAAAAGGTTGACGACCTTAATGGCCTTTCGTTATTTTTCTCGGTATTTCAATATTGATCTATCTATTTTCGGGCATAATGAGCATTTCTGCCGTTGTAGGTTGTAAAAACTTGTTTTCTTTCAGATCGAAATTTGAAAAAAATTTGTATACTTTTAATTTTTTTGGCCTTAGAAAAAATGTAAGTGAAATATAATAACGGATTGGTTTAAAATAATAAATCTGTAATTATTCCGGAAGCTCTCGATCTCTACTATAAATATAAGAGTAAAAATTTGTAAGCGTAATCCGTTCAGGATTGAAATGTGAAACACGATAGGAGTTGATTCGAAAAAAGTTATGTAGATGAACGATCTTATTATATGTAGTAATAATAGAAATGATCAATGACGAGAGAAAAGTGAAAATAAAGAGAAAGAACGAATGATGACCAAACTTTCATTAAAGATTCTATGTTAGTCACAGTTCGTCATATGTTTGTCAACGACAGTGGATCAGAGCGGGGAGTTATTCACTTTTCAACCTTCATACTTCAACACTTCTTTTCAATCGTGTTTCATAAAATGACTAAAAATAATTCTTATTTTTTTTTATCGAGATCGAATAAGATTATTAGAAGTGACTAGTTCTTATATGCAAGGGGGATTTACTGAAAAGAGAAAACAGTTTGTGCTGTGAAAATTAGAAAAAGTCTCTTAATTAGTCGGGAATATTGGAGGAACATCTTTTACGAAAGTGCAAAAAAAATTTCTCTTAAATGTCAAACCTAAATTTACAGAAAGTGCTTTCTGTCAAAAAAAAAAAATTTTCCACCATCCAAAAATACTCAAGAATACTGAAGAAAAAAAAAATTGAAAATATTAATTTTAATTTTATTAATTATCCGCTTGATAGTTGTTGATCACAGTAATCATTTCGACAGAATAACTCTTACACAATTGTTCACCATTCGATTTTTTTGAAAGAGAACTTTGTGCGTAGTTGAAGGTCGACACAGAGATTTTCTTTCTTGCTACACAATCATGAAAAATTTTAATTTTATCCATGTTCATCTGTTCTTCATCTCAGATAAACAAAAAACAGTTTTTATCGGACAAAAAAATAGTTTGTTTAACGATAACTCTTTCAATTTCAGTTATACAAGATGTTTTTTTTTGCTTTTCCTCAACTATCATTATGTGAACACGAATGCAAATTTTTTTTTTCTCTTCATCAACGTGGACAAAACGTTCCTTTGACAGAAATTGTATGCATTATATGCCACCTATGCTCTTAGCTTATAAACACAAACGAGAGCGAAAAACAAGAGTACACATACCTTTAACTATAGTCAAAAAAGAGAAATATCACTGACTTACATTATATAAGAATTAGCCAGCAGAGAAAGAAAAAAAAAAGAGACCTATTTGTGGTTACTTTTCTCTTCTCAAACACGAAACTTTTAGAACATTTTGAAAGAACTGAAAGAAAAAAGTGAATGTGTACGGTGTTGTTGTTAATATATACGAACAAAAAGTTACATAGAAATAACTGACGAAAAAATAAAATAAATCTCTCTTTCACATAAATAGAATCTACTATCTATAGTGGACAATTTTTAACACCTACGTTAAAACTTTATTTTCAAATCAAATATAAAGTTTACAAAACGATCTTTATAAGTTTTCGCATGTGTTCTTCTAACAACATCAATGTCTATCATTTACCACAAATTGTGGCAGTGGGTATATATTTTCTGTTAATCTGCGACAACACTCACACTCACACCCTCTTCAACATTGATTTTTAATCACAAAAAAGGTAGTTGTAGAATAAAGGGTATTGTATTCGGGTATACTTTAGTATAGCCTTCCCCACCTCTTATAGATTTCTCTTATGACTTGATAACCCTCAAATATGAAACACGTATGAAGCATGTGTCACCTTCTATTCTTGTAAGATGTTTTTTACTTATCATCCTATTCTTCATTCGTTCGTTCATTTTCCACTTAATTTGTTTGTTTGCTATAATGTTTACGTTCACTAATTTAGTTTTGAAAGTAACAAAGATCATAGAACCAGTGTTAAATGTTGTCAAGAAAATGATTTAATCAGAACCAGTAGAGTATGTGACATTTTTAGGTTCTGATCCACATGATGTTCTAAAAAGTGCTGTAGGAAATAGTTGGTTTGAAAAACGAAAATTGTCTATGGAGAAAGTTATGATAATTTAATTGATGAAACATGAAGAGCAACAATATCTGAATGATTGTCAGAGAAATAAATTGTGGATAAGAGTTAAAGAGCATTTCATTACAATCTTTAATAATAGAATTTCTGATTATGAATGTTTTTAAATTTGGTAAACTATTAGAATGATCTGATATTGTGAATAGGTACAGTTTTCTAGTTTGAAATGCTGTGCTGTAGAAACATGTTTCTATTCTATGTTATCGATTGATCAATCGAAATATCTTAAATTTAATTTTCGAAGTTTGAATTGGGCAACTGATGATAACAATAGGATCGCTAGTTTTTCCATATTTCATCCCGAATGTATAGAAAACGAAATTAGAGGACAAGATGCGAAAACTTGTAAAATATGATTGAGATTGTTAGAAGTTATTTTATTCAGAGTCAGCGAGCGAAGTTGACGAATATCGAAAATATTTTCGGTAGATGTCGATCGTATAAGTTGAAAGTTATATGAGTAATAAGAATTTGTTCAAACTAGGAATATCTCTCATAAAGACTATAGATATTCAATGAATTCAAATCAGAGCTAAGATTGTATTATCTATTTTTCGTGAACTTCTCAGCAGAAGTATGTGTGTGTTAAGTATTAGCATATCAAATCCTGAATTTACTTGAATGATTCAAAATTTCAAGAGTTTAGATTTCCTGAATCCGTGTTTAAGGTGTCAATTTTCATAGCTTCTTAAATAGAGTTCTATGTGCTAATATTTTGATCCATCATTATTGTAGACTTGTCATAATCCCGAAAATGACTATAAAATTTTTAATATCTGATCGGTGTGGGCACTGTTGACCACACTGTATATAAATGTATAGCTATTGATTAGAATTTTCTCGTTAGGATCAAGTTGAATATTTTTCATTTTAATAATGAATAATTATTTCCGATATCTAAGCATCTCAACATTTTTAATGTTAACATTTGAGGAAAATAATTGAATTATAATCATAAGTAAGAGTGTGCGAAAAACAAAGGAAGTATATTGTGTAGTATTACTTAAGTACATAAAATGACGAGATTCTCTTTGTCGAATAAAAAAAAAAACTTTTATTTAGACTTCATAGCTTTTGAATTGAAGTGAAACATCAGATGCAAGTCTATCATTGCCCAATGGTATCAATTATTGAATATCTTCAATGGACCATAATAACTTAGATTGGTGTAAAGTGATACTCGTCAGATTATTTACTATAAATCCATCATCTTTGAAAACAATAAAACGAATATTTGTTTTATCTGTTATCTCCGTCATATATATATATATATATAAATAGGAATAATGCTTCTGATAACAAAAACTATTAAAACAATGATATTCGAGAAGATTATCTGATTGGTATTTCATCTACTCATCTTTCGTTTTATCCAATGTAAATCAATGATTCGTTGTTTAACTTGATCGAAATGATAATGTAGTAAGTAATCGTCATACTGACCATATGATTGATGATTACTTGCTGCTTTAAATAAATCTTTAAATATTATTAAAAAAAATTCTTTTAATTTAAAGTTTTATTTAATATGCAGATGTCTTATTGCTATCTGATGAGATCCTTAATTAAATCGAAATGGCGATAGTGTTAGTTAATCATTATACTCACACCACCCTCAAGATTTCGTTTGAGATACTAAACCATTTTTATGAAAAGTTACGTTGCAAGATGGTCTACGATCAAAGCACGATCTTATTATTTTATGTTTTTCCTTTGTATTATATATTACCGAATCAGCAATCAAAAAATGTATTTAGTGTTTAGTTGTCAATGTGTATTTTCACAGGTCGAGAATGAAAATGAAAGATGAAAATCTCTGAGCAATGATGAAATAATCTTGTTCGACATTTAATCATATAGTTTCAGCTTTTTCAGAAATTCTGTGAATATTGCAGACAGTTTTGACTCGATATGGATGTTCAAGAGGAAGAAATTTCTCATAGATGGTCAATGCTCGTTGATAATAGTCCATTGCCATATTTTTCTGGTTATTATGCTCATAACATAGTCCAATGTTATCTAAACTTCGACCGATATCGACATGACTAAATTGATAGAATTTCTCACGTATTTTTAATGATCTTTCATAGTATTCCAGGGCTTCATCGTACTTTCCTTGATCTTTGAAAATGGTGCCGATGTTATTGAGGCTATGAGCAATGTCAACATGATCAAATGGATAAAATTTCTCGCGTATTCTCAGTGATCGTTGATGATAATCGAGAGCTTGATCATACTTGCCTTGGTTCTTGTAAACAACGGCAATGCTATTTAAGGTTCGAGCAATGTCAACATGACCAAATGGATAGAATTTTTCACGCATTTCTAGTGCTCGGTGATGATAGTCGAGAGCTTGATCATAGTTGCCTTGATCATTGAGAATGCAGCCGATATTGTTAAGGGTTCGAGTAACGTCGACATGTCCGGCTGGATAGAGTTTATCATAGATTTTCAATACTTGTTGATGATAATCCAGAGCTTGATTGTATTTTCCATGTTGATATAGCATAATACCGATACTATTGATAACATGTGCTGCATCTTTGATTCTTGGTGGTATTGAATCGATCATTCGATGATAAGCCTGTTGATAATATTCTCTTGCTTCATTCCATTGACCTTTAAACTGAAGAACTCGTCCAATATTATATTGAATCCAAGGAATATCTTCACCATTTGGATTATTTAAGAGTTCTTGAAAATATTTTTGTGATTTTTCATATTGACCAAGATTATACATTAATCTTCCAAATACAATTGCAACACTCATTTCTTCTGTTTCTTTTTGTGTTAGTTCGATATAATTTCTGGTGATTTTTTCTCCTTCATTCGATAAAGTCATTTTAATCAGTTGTATGTATCCTTCTTTTTCGATTGAATCTAATCGAAATGCAGCATTGAGATCAAAAAGAACCTCTTCTTCATCAGGATAATCACTAAATTTAGCAATATCAGCATAGATAATACTTTTACCAATGTGTTGAATATGACATTGAATCTGAAAGAGAAGAGGAATAACACCAGTTCTTTTAGTTGGTTTCATAAAAAAGTTGATAGCTAGCTGTCGATGTCGACTAGTTGATAAATATCCATTTGTTGTAATGATTTTTCCTTGATTTTCTTTGAGTTTTTCAAATTCGTCTTCATTTAATTTCGTTCCTCGATAAACAGTTAAGATAGTTTCATCAGATGAAAGAATCTTTTGATGTTCATATGAAAGACTTTGTGAAAGATCACCAATGAAAAATCGAAATGTTTGTAATTGATCAAGATCTTCAGTTCTCAATGCTTTATTGATCATTCTGTAGATAAATGATTGTTTTGAATACCAATGAATAGCATCTTCTGGACGATATTCTCGTTCAAATTTATCAATTGATTTCAATTCGTCGCTATTTCCACGATAATAATCTCGACAAATATCGATCATTTGTTTTTTTGCTTGTTGATCTCGTGGAAGACGAATAATTATATAATGAAAGAGCTGCAACCAAAGAAATTCACCTGATTGTTTTAACAGATCTTTTGTTAATTGTTGATGATGATCAAAGATACGGAATGCTTCTAGTTGTTTATTACAAAGATTGATTTCTTGTCGAATAGATGAACATAACTCATCAAGACAAGAATAAATACCAACGATTTTTGAATATTTATCAATAAGATGTTGATATTTGTCTTTTTTTACACAAAAGATGAAGGTGGAATCAACTTGACGAAGATGAGAGATAAGAGGAAGAAATTCTTTTGCTTTTGATCCTGATGTAATCAAAAAAAATCTTTTCTTTCTCAATTGACTGAATAAATTTAACACATTGATCAAGATCAGTGTGAAAGAGAACGAAATCATTGATAGAACGAAGTTGCTGTTTAGTTCTTTCTGTATCATGATGAGATTCAATATTGGGATCATACCAGAGAAGTGTTATACCTTCTTTATTTTCATCGTTTGTTCTAACCAGTAACGTATCAGGAAATACAGTAGTATTTCTCTTTATCATCATATCAAAGATGAAGTTCGATAATGATCAAGTAATGTCAGGCCAAAAACACTCAAGTCTCAATGGCAGAAATGAATGATTATTTCTTTATGTGCACGTGAATGCAAAAGGTTCGCCATTTTTTCTCCGATTTCTTATCATCAATATTCAATATTTGTCTTTCTCAAGTACATACTTTAATGACGACCATATATTTCTTTCGAAACAAGGCCTTGGGAGCTTTTCATTTTATTTTTCGCTTCCTCCGATTTCGTCAATAGCGTTAACAAACTAGGCAAATATCGTCAGGCGATCAAATTTGTTTTTGGTGTCCAGATAACGCCTTAAACGCGCCGATAATCAAGCAAAAATCTTTGGTCAAAGAAATATTTTTCGACTGTAAAACAATCAATTTCATTCACCAATGTCTCACGAGGGAACCTCTTCAGGTGTAAAATTGCTTTTTGCTCGAGACTATTACCATTAGTAAGGCCTTAGTGAGTAGTGAAAAAGTCCACAAGGGTTTCGGTGCATGGCCTTCTCTCATCGAGTTATGAGTGTTTCACCCAATTGTTGGTCTATGGGCATAGCATTTTCGAAAAACCCAGTGATCGAATTTCGAGCTGAAATTTTGTCCATAGATAGGTATCATGGTCACTAGAAAGTTTCCACGGTTTGAGCCACACCGACCTCATCCTTGCCGAGATACTAGCTTGTCATGAAAGTGTCCCTATTTTGAAACGCAGCCCCAAACAGGTGTTTCTTTAAAATATGAATATCTTGGTAAGGATGAGTTCATTTTAGCTCAAACTTTGGGGACTTTCTAGTGGCCATAATACCTATCTATGGACAAAATTTCAGCTCGAAATTCGATCATTGGGTTTTTCGGAAATGCGATGCTCATAGACCAAAAATTGAGTAAAACACTCATAACTCGACGAGAGAAGGCCATGCACCGAAACCCTTGTGGACTTTTTCACTACTCACTAAGGCCTATCTAATGGCAATAGTCTCGAGCGAAAAGCGATTTTACACCTGAGGAGGTTCCCTTGTCAGATTTGGAATCCTGGCCCTCGACAACCTATGGCAAAGTTCACTCAAAACGACCAAAAGTCTTAAAATAAGCTAACCTCTCTGGTATGTTTTTTTGACCCCAATCAATCAAGATAACAAACAAACGCATTTTATTTCGTATGACCCTCCCTTCAGTTGAGGGAATAAGCAATTCTCGCCTTATTCGTTATTCATCGTATACCTTCATTATAAAAAAAAGTCAATTTTTGTTATTTGGTTTCTTGGAAAAAATTATTCAGCCCTTCATTGAGTAGGACAATAAATGCTTCGAACATTTCCGAGACTTACTTTGTCCGATAATGTTCTTTCTTTCGAAGGAGAAACTTTTTTCGAACTGGTTCGTCAGACGTGTGGAGACGTCTTTAAAGAATTGATGGAAGTACTCTCGATTAATACAGTATACAAATTACTATTGGCTAAAGATGATATTCTTCCTGTTTTCCAGAAAAACTATCGAGAACTGGAAAGCATAACACAACGAGCGTGCCTTCATCTCGATGATGGTACTATTATGCTCAAACCTGGTTTACGTTTGGATTTTGATCGTTTTATTGAAGCTCTTCATGCCGTAAGCGACCAAAACCAACAAACAGAATCAACAGCAACTCCAAATAATAATATTTCTTCGTTGCTAAAATTATTAATAAATAAATATGAAATAAATGAAAATAATCATTTACAAGACAGCTATTCTTTTTTAATAGCTTTTCTTGAAAATATTTTCAGTAATCTTCAGAAAAATAAAAGTAATTATCGATATAGTGAAGCCGTATTAAACTTTGCACAAGCCCCGTTTGTGTTAGCAGGACGAAATGCCTACGAATTCGTCCGATTAAATCTGCCTGGCGCACTGCCAGCGTTGTCCACCTTGGATGATATCTTCGAAAAAGATGGTGCAAACATTGAAGAAGGCATATTTAGATATGACTTACTTTATCATCAACAAAATTCATTAGGCTATCAAATAGCAGTTTGTTCTGAGGATACGACGGCAATCATAAAAAAATTACTTTTAATGCAATCAATAACACTTTCACAGGGTTCTCAACCCCACTGAAAAATGGCGTTTCTATTTCGCGTCATTTTCAGACTGATTCTTTTGATCAGTTAAAATATTGGTTTGAGAATAATGATACATTGAATTACTTGAATATTCATATGGTTCAGCCACTCATGGCATCTGATCGACAATCGTCGCCATATCTACTGGCCGCCTATGGAATCAGCAACACGTTTACAGCCATTGATATTTTTAATCGATGGATGTGGATATTCGAAAGTTCTCGACAATCGAATGTTCGTATCGTAGTCTTTGCTACTGATTGTGATTCCAGAACTAAAGATTGATTTGCCAAGAGACTGGTTAATTTGGTTTTTTATGAAAACTAGTCAAATCTTTTTCTGTTTTCAAGATCCTACACATTTGTGCACAAAGCTTCGTAACCGTATACTTTCTGAAATTGCATCAATGTTGATTGGAAAAGAAAATGTTTCCATCGAGGTTTTGATGAAGCTAATTCATAGTAAATCAAGATTTGAACATGGACTTGTTAAGACGGACATAGATCCGAAAGACCGGCAAAACTTTAAGTCTTGTCTCAAGCTTGTAAGTGATGATGTAATCAATGGTCTTCAGGATGTTGATGATTCTCAAGCTATACCAGTTTATTTGCTTCTGTTGCGGAGTATTATTGTAGCCTATGTTGAGCCTAATGCATCGATTATTGATCGCATCTATCGTAGTTGGCTAGCAGTATTTTTATGTCGTGTATGGCAAACCTGGTTACACATAATTGAAGAAAAGAATACTTTAGAATATTTTTTTGAAAAGAAAAAAAGGAATTTGTTTATCACTAATCCTGCACATTTTTTAATCGAGCTTAATGCTCATAGTTTACTTGGTATTTGTCTTCTCGTGTATCAGCATGACTTGCCTGAATCTGCTCTTTCCATATCAGACTATTATTCACAGCCATGCGAGGCTACTTTTCGACTTACCAGATCAATGTCAGGAGCTTTTTCTTCTGTAGTAAATTTTACTACTGAACAATTTCTTAAACGAGTCGGTAAGCTCTCTGTACTAACCGAGCTAGAGAACAAAAGTCAATCTGGTCAGTTGAACTGTCCATTACAGTTTCCAAAGCATGACAAACGACGACAAAAAAAATTGTTTCGAAAAAGTTAGTTTCAAATTTATCTAGTGATTTTCTTACATATGATAATATTCAAACAACTATTTCTCGAGCTTTTGATCATGCTTATCATCTTCTCTTCGGACTTGATGTTAATATTGCTTTAGAAAAAAAGAAAAAAAACTACATTGAAATAAGTAAGTTCTTTTGTGCGAACCCAATTCGAAAAAAAGTTCAAAACAATATCAGCTGATAGTAGACAAATCTATTCATCTGATGGTAATCGGATGATGAATCAGAATCTGATGTTTACATGTTATCGAAATCGGAGGAGTACAGTTCGTCTGAAGACGAAACTGATGACGTACCTCAAATAACAACAAATGGTAAGTCACAATGCCGAGGAATGAGAGTCTTTGACACCATATCTCTTTCATTCACCAATTCCTTCTTTTGTGTCGAGATTGATGGTAAAAAAATACATTCATAAGCAAACAGCCTGTTGACTTTTAACAGACAAAGAACCTATCTTGTCAGCGGATCGGCTTAAACATGTTCAACAGTCGAGTCGTTGAGTAGATAGGAGACTACATAACATAAACTATAGATTTATTTCTTATGAAATTGGTTTTTTTTCTTGCTGCTTGTTATTCTATATTTTTGCTTTTTTTTCAATAAAAATTACGAAAAAATAAACTACTCTGTTGCTCCAGCGGACTCCATACCCATCATCATAGGTGACGTGTGTAGACTTCTGACGGCAGCAGCTTTTTTTTTAATTGTTTAACTCAATATTTCTATTTAAATGATATAATAAAGGCTCTCTTGCTTCTATACCTTGTCTCTACAGAGCTTCCAAGAGCATAAGAAGACTTCTACAAATTGAATATAGGCTTTAGAAATACAATATGAATTCAGAGAAGGCCATGAGATTCTCAGGAATTCTGTAGGGATCTCGCGGGAAACCCGAAAATATCGGGAATTCTCAGAATATGAAATCCGTCGATTCTCCTTGCCTTGACGTCTACACAGGTCAAGCATACGAAAAAAGTTCGCCTACGAAATGATTTTCCTCAATAGTTTAATGCAGCTTTTGTAACCATGTGATAAAGCAGTGAAGTCTTGATAGTGAGCTCTGTGAGATTTTCAGGACGAAGGTGAGGATCATTAGAGGTTAAATATGAATTTCGGGACTCTCATTTGTGATTATAAAAATTCCGAGAATAGGGGAATGCGAGATTCCCATAGGATTCCCGAGATTCTTGTGGGATTCCGAGAATACAGGAACCCCATAGGAATCACGGGAATCCCACGAGAACCCTGGGAGTCCCACGTGAATCCGGAAATTCCATGAGAATCCGGAAATCCCATGAAAATCCTGGAATCCCATGAAAATCCGGAAATCCCGGGAGTCCGAAATCCGCCGTTTCTCCCTTGACCTTAACATTCTATTTGGTTCAAGATAAAGTCGCGTTTTCTTTAGTTTCTTATTCTTTTTATTATTTGTATTATATTGTGCTGACTCTTCATCAGTTAAATCAATTTCATTTTGATCAATATCTTGTATATCAACAAGTGGAGCAAATCGATTATTTTGAACAAATTTATTTCGATGACTTTGTTGTTGTTGTCGATTTCGATCTTGACGACGTCTAAAGAATGTCGTTGTATTTTATTGTCGTCGATTTTGTTGCTGATTTTCTTGTTCATTTTGATTAACTACAAATGGTTGTGTAGTGTTATTTCTAAAACTTTCACATTGTGGTAATGCATCAGGTGAAATATTTGTGGTTATCGTTGTTACCAAATTAAAATCTGAAGGAAGACTTCGAGTATCTGGTGAAGGATCACGTAACTGTGGTGACATAAAATCATTTAATCTTAATTACCTTGGACCACGTGTACGTTGTTGTCTTAATTGACTCATTCCTTGTTGGTTTGAACGACTTCTTCGTTGATTTGAACGACTTCTTGGTCGATTGAAATGACTTTCTGGTCGATTTTGATTTATTCTTCTAATTGGTCTCTGATAAAATCTTCCTTGTCGTGGTGTTGACCGACTTATAATACTATAGCCACCACCATTATAGCCATTATAATAACGCTGTGGTTGATAATTTCGATTATAATAAATATTTCGATGATAAAAATGTTTTTGATTGTATAGATTGCCTCTATTCGGATAATTTCGATAATTATATGGGTTGCCCCTATAACTATATTGATTGCTCCTCCTGTAATTGAACTGGCTGTCCCCAAAAACACCACCACGACGACGTGAATTCATATATCTTTGTGGTGGTGGTGGTGGTGGTGCATTTGTTTGTTGCAATGGTATTTGATTAGTATAAGAGATTGTCGACATGAATCGTTGAATAAGTTGAGAGATAAATGGATCAAATTGGAATAATATTATTCAAATAATTTGATGCCTGATACAATTGGGTGTACGTGAATCAATTGCAAACAGATCGACCTATATGTCTATCATACAAATCAATCTGCTGTTCTCAACTCTTGCTTTTCAGCAATCGACCTAGTCGAAAGTCAAATTAAAATTAAATATCAACAAATAAATTGTGCTTTGATTAAAATAATTGAAAAGAAATGCAGAGTTAATTTTGCCGACGCATTTCGTATCTTTTATAAGATAGTACTCTTCAGAGCTGGAGATATATGTATTTGCAATAGAAAATAAAACAAGATTATTATCGTATTTCAAAGCGAAATTAAAACATGGATAGAGAACGTAAGAATTAATGTGTTTTATTTAAGAGAATTAGAAGCTTATGAAGTTGATAAGTCCATGTGTTTGACAAAAATGAAATATTTTCATGCATCCTACAATAGAAGAATATACTTGTTAGTACAAATGATGAAGATAGATAAATCTTTACTTTTTGTCCGAAATGATGTTCTCTTATATAATCTATAACTTGTTGACGACTCCATTTTTCTTGAATAATCATTGAAAGTTTTGTTATTGCTAAGCATGCATGACGATTATCATTCCCCTTTTGTAGATTTTCATCGAAAGTGTATGCAATAGCCATCCATATTGACCACTTGTCTATCTGAGATTTATATGGTCGGTGTGCACAGGAACATAATGGACCATCCATATCAAGAAAATGAAGTATCTGACTACAACTTTCGTTATGAGGAAAAGTTCTATTATACCATATCTTAAAATCTTGTTGTATATTAATAAATTGAATTTTATTAAAATTTCTATATATATAGAAGTGATAATCTTCATAATCCACTAATTTATCATATATATCACCCCATGCTTAAATACTATTCGATGAATCGAAAATGGTTGAGAATAGCTCACTAATTTTCTCGTACAAACAAGTATAGTCTCGAGATATTTCAATATGAGTAATTATTGATTGAGATTCTTGGATAAATTCTATTTCCATTAAATTGTCTAAACAGAAGCATGTAATTTTTTTTGTTTGCTTAGCTTCAGTTATTAATTCATCCACTACAGTTGGCAATGATTTTGGATTAATATTGATGAATTTGTATGGTTTTAATGGTACGAAAGTTGCTAAATCTTTCATTTCTTTATGCTTCTTCGTTTCAATATTATTCATATTTATCTTCAATATTTGCTTGGTTGAAGATTGAATGATAGATATAACATTTTGTAATTGATAGTAATTTATTACAGTATTTATACAGATACCAAGGAACGCTAATATCAGTAAACCACATATCATATTTATCCATTGTGTTAATATTGAACCATTATTTGAATATGTTAAAGATCCATTATGACCAACAACATGTTGAATATTTGAAAAACAAAACACAATCGAAAATAGGTACGAATAGAATAGATGGCTAATCATTTTAATTTATGTCTAAAAGAAAACTATTCGATACAATTACGAATAGACTGACCTTTGTATAAAAAAAAATAGAATGTTGAAATTCTTTTAAATATGTATTAATTAGACAAGCTATATCATCGATAGATTCGTATTGGGTGTGGGTAAATCAATTAGAAAACAGATCAACCTATCTCTTAATGAAAAGACAAGTACAATCTGCTAGTCTCAACTCTTCCTTTTCAGCAATCGATTTCCCTGTCGAAAATTAAATTAGAATGAAATAAATATAAATACATATGCTTGAATAAAAATTAATTTAAAAGAAATGCAGATTATTTTCGCCGACGCGTTTCGTATCTTTTTTAAGATAGTACTCTTCAGGGCTAGAGATTTCTATATCTAAAATAGAAAACAAAACAAAAATGTTTATTACCAGATATTTCAAATATAAAGCAGACATATCATTTAATTTGTAGAGTAAAAAGCACAGTGAATTCAAATATGAAAGACAATGCAAGAAAACATATTCACTTGTGTTTAGTTTCGTATGATTTTTAATCTAAAATAATTGAATATTAATGAATAAATGTTGCATGAAAATTTTTAAGCAGAAACCAACTTAGGATTCAAATAATTCAAGAATATTAAATGAATGAAAGAAGTACAATAAGAAAAAGAAGAAAATTGTTCAAATGCAAAGAAAGTAAAAATCAAACTGATAAAATAAATAGAGTATATCTTGTGTTTTGAAACATGCAAATATATGCTACGAACATATGTATGCCTATGGAATGCTAATAGTTTTGAAAATCTTAATTAATTTGAATGACGTACTAAATTAGCACACCATATACCATGCCGAACATTCATATATCCAGTACGATCAACTACATGACCTAACACATTTAATTTTGCTTCCGTATGTGTAACGAATAATGAATGAACAATATGCCGAAATAAATCTGATGTATTTGCTGGTAAAACAGCAATAATAGCTGCATGATAAATATCAATCTGTTCATAAAATGGATTTTTAATCATATTCTTTTCAAAGAATTCAATTTGTTGTTCTATTTGACGTTTTGAAAATTTATATCCTTGAGGTGGATTTCTTATATTATGAAGATGTTTTTCGATATTTCAATTTGGATGAATATTCGTCTCTGTAGTTGTTGTTGCTCGCATATTATGATAGCGAGAATTATCTTGATTAGCTTCATCAATTGGCAGTGGTACAAATCGCCAACAATCTTCATTTCTATATAAAAACATTTGTACGGCTGCTGAACATTGCATTGAATGTTGATATAATAACATATTTTCTTTGTGTAATGACGTTGATTGTTCTTCTGTAAGTTAAATATGCTTAAGATTATTTTCACCAACTAAAAATTTACGTATAAGATTATTACCAATAAAACGATGACCACGTAATCGAACATTCAATGCAAATTTTGTATCACTAATAAATTCAAATTGACCACATACACATGTTAGAACATAAATATAATTTTTTGTATCACATGTTGCCGGACAATTTAATATCGACTCATATCCATTGACAAATCGATGTCTTTCATAACGATTAAATAAGACTGGTGCTTGTTGACGATAATTGATATCATTTGATTGTTGACATAAATTACAATCACCACATCTTGACATTGTATAAAGACAATCAGGTATATTGGAACAAAATATACCTTCTGTTATTGATCTTGGTTGTGCATCACGAAATGAACATGTTTTCATATAGAAAAGATCAACATCGATTTGTAAAAAGAATTCAAATAATTGTGGAAATTCTGTATCACTTAAATATAAAGGATCTTCTGAAAGTTTGTCAGTTGATAGAATTCGTAGACGAGCACTACGATATAATTTAAGATAATTTTTTAAAAGTCCATAATTATAATCTAAAATGGCTACATCAACCTTGAAACGTTCAAGTATGGGACCAAAATATGTATAATAATTATTAACCATAAGTGATGTTACTGATGGATCATAATTTGAAATTGTAAAGAGTGGTTTATATTGACCAGTTTGACGACGTGCCAATTCTTCGGATGATAATTGAGCCATAGGTACATTGGCTAATAATAAATGTACATTGGTAGTATTACCCGTTGTTGGAAATTTAGGTAAAATTGATAAACGTTGTTGATTAAAAAAATGAATTGTACGTGATATATAATTTGACTGATAATGAAGAGTTGGCGATTTTTTTGGTGTTACCAAATCGATCAGTTCAATTTCTTGTGCTCTTGCTGTTGTTGTTGTTGTTCGTTGCCTTCGAGCTAATGAACGCATTGGTGTCGATGGTAGTGGTGGTAGTAGAACTAATTGTTGTTCATTTGTTTGTATTACATCTGAATGAACATGTTGTGCCATTGATGTAGAAAATTCTGCGTCCATTAGAGTATCATCCTTCTCACCAGCCTCTTCATCCGATGTGAATACAACCGATGGATAACGTTGAAAATTATTTAGAGACATATTCCAATTGACAATAATTGAATAGATGATTGGAGAAATAAGAAGAATGAATCTGGAATAAGCAAAAATCATTGGTGAATAATATTATACTGAACATGAAACACTACAAATAAGATAGAATGTAAAAATAAAAGACAAACAAACAAGACAAGCGATAAAAAGAAAAATTCAGTTAGTAAAAATTGTTAGAGTTGTGGAAGAATCGATGCAGTCGAACTGTTATCCTTATTATAGAAGGGTGTGGGTGTGGGTGTGTATAAGTTACCACGATAACCTGTGTATAGATTATTTCTGATGTTTCTAACTCAAAATCTTATCAAGTGGTCTACAGTCAATGTCTCCAATAAGAACAGACTTTTCAGAGGTGCCAGTAATTTGCTTTTTTACTGATTAAATTTTTAAAATTACAAAGTATTTTTTACATTTCTGGATGCAGAAATGTTTGCTACATCGAATGATGCAAAAACTATTTTATTATCTCGTAAATTAAACCTATAATTAGCGGTATTTTACAAGTAATTGAATTTGTTCCTATTAGGGTCGCTTGTCCTAATAAGAACAACAAGCCAAACACTGTTCCTAATAAGAACAGACCATATAAAATATATAGAAAAAACATTTTTTTAGTAAACGAGCTTTTTCTAATTTGAACTTGAAAATATCGATATATTCCCGAAACAAAAAATGTTTGTTATTAATCATAGAGTTAAAATTTCAAGGTTCAGATTTTTTTGATTTATAATAACAGAGTTATTAAATTTTAAAAAATAACTCGTCTGTTCTTGTTAGGAACGCTGTGCCCAATAAGAACAACCAGCGAAAAATATTCCTAATAAGAACAGTCTATATAAATCACATAGAAAAAAATGTTTTTTAGTAAATGAAATTTTTTCTTATTTAAACTTAAAACTTTTTTGTACTTTCGTTACAAAAAATCTTTTTCTATTGATGATACGTTAATATCCAGAGGTTCAGTCCAAATGGATGTTTCTGATAGCGCATCTGATGATATTTACGTTAATGCTTGTAAGCGGAGTTGTTTTGTGAAACACGATCTGAAAAGGAGTGTCGAAGTGTTTAGGGGTAGAAATTTGGACCCTCCCCCTCCCCCCCCACAGACCGTGACAGGCAGGGTCTGGATCCGTTACAGGCCGTGACAGACAGGTCTCTGGGCCCATCACAGACCGTGACAGACACTCACATGACCTGTTACAGACCGTGACAGATAGGGCTTCGGACCCATCACAGACCGTGACAGACAAGGCTTTGGACCCATCGCAGACCGTGGCAGACAGGTCTCTGATGCCATCACAGACCCGTGACAGGCAGGGCTTTGAATTCATCACAGATCGTGACAGACAGGTCTCTGGACTCATGACAGACGCGGCAGACAGGTTATCGATCCATCACAAACTATGGCAAACAGGTTTTGGACTCGTGAGAGACAAGACTCAGGGATCATTATAGACTGTCATAGAGGACTTCAAGGAAATATCAGATATGATGCATACGTAATATGTGATTAAAGCATATATGGAGTATTATACTTTTGAAAGTATATAATGTAAGGTAAGCCATTATGAAGAAATATACATCAGTATGCATAAAAAATACAACAGCTTTTAGAATACCGGCCATAGCAACTACATCGTGTTTCACATTTTTAATCCCGCACGAGATTGCGCTAACAGCTTTTTACAGCATTTCTAAAATTATTGATATATGATTTTTGACTGAAGGATTCAATTTTTTGCACCTATCGGTATTGAAAATAATTAAATACACATCTCTTGCGTATGATTGATTATCATGTCAAGAATGATATAGCACAACTCACCGACATCTATCGAATATGTATTACATGTCATGCAAAGTACGCAGTACCAATATGCAGAGGTGTTCGATAATACTGTTTTATATTAATTAGTTAATTTCATTAAATAACTTCAATCATTTGATGAAGGTCTCAAATGCAAAATATATGCAATATGATTGTATGGGAGATGATACCAATAGTAAAAAGATCGATATTTTCGTTGGTGGCTGTTCAATTACACCAAATTCAAGCGCAACAAACGTATATATCATTACTAATTTTACTACTTTCGTATGATATTATTGTTTTGAATTAGAATTTGTATTATTATTATTTAATTATTCACGTGTTGATACATTTTTTTTTTGATGTAATATTTAATAATGGAAAGAGGAAATTATAGTAAAGAAGATTTAATAAAAGCTATTAATGACTTTAAAAATGGTTTTACATCAGCTGCAGTAGCCGCAAAATATGAAATTCTAAGTAGTACAGTACGAAAGCACAACTCTAATCCTGAACTTAGAATTGGTGGCGGACATCCAACATTGTTATCAAATGAACAAGAACAATACTTGGTACAACTATTTAAAAATCTGGAATTTATCGATGTTCGATTGACAAAAAAAGTAGTTTTGGATTTAGCATCTGATTATGTTAGACTTGTATGAAGCAACGAATACACTTAAAACCAATAATGATATGAAAATAGATGACTCTAAAATTTCATGATATTACCTCACGGATCATTCACTTCGTCTATTTCGTACATTTTCAACTGACTATCATATGAGTTGTAACAGTTATGACTTGTTAGTTCATATATTTTAGCGCTCTTTAATATTAATAGATACCTCGTAAAATTGACTTGATCTTTAAAATCTACCAGATGATAATCTCAAGAAAAAGAAGAACTAAGAATTATAAATTCCTTTAAGAGAGATTTAATCGGATATCAACAAGATTGTGCATTCTTTGACAAGAAAGAGAGAAAGTATATTGTTGTTTATACTGTTATGCAATCGCTATGTTTTTCTCATAGACAAGATTAATGTGCCAAGGGATATATCACCATCACACGAAACGGTCAATAATGTTGCCACCCAGTGATGGACGCCCTTTTCTATGACTCCTTACTCCTCTGTGAACACTGCATGTTCTCCCTTTTCCTTCCTCTTGAACTCAATATTTCTCTCCTGATTTTTTCTTTCTCTCCTTGATTCGCCTCTTTTCTCTCTCTCTCTCGCTCTTACTCATTTTCTATACGATTAATTGGTTAAAGGTTGGTGTGTCAAGGAACACATTATCGAGACAAGAAAATGTCCATCAAAGATATATCAAACGAGTTATGTCATTTCTTACGTCATGGCATTGGGATCATAACAATTCGACGTAACAAACTTAATGGAATTGGAAACAAGATGATTGTTGCCTGTTTTATCGACACTCACTATCCTTTTTCACGCAGCGCATTATTTTTTTCTCCGTGTTCTTTTTTCTCTTCCTCTTTAGTATATTAGCTCATGATATATGTGAGATAGATGCACTTGGATGTAGATCATAGTGGAATAAACATGGTGTTATAAGACACACAAAACTATGCCTCTCCATTTGCTATAACGATCAAGGTGGAAGCAGCTCAATCAACATCAATGCTGTGCAAGACAATAGAGTGACGCACTTCTTCTCTTTTTCGTTACAATTAGTATGAGAAGGAAAGAAAAGAAAGATCTTCATTCTTATTTATCTTTGCAGCTACTAAGGGAAGCAATAGTTAGAAAGAATAAATGTTATACTTATACTGATTGCTTGACGTGGCTATATGTTGCTTTGCCATTACTTCTCTCTGATATTGTATGTATATATAGTGGGACAAAAGATCGACCAGTACAAAGAATAACTGTATCATAAGTCAGAAATGGCAGTGATGGTATCTCTCATTGTAAGTAACTTTTACATATACAATCTGAGCTTTAAATAAATGTTTTTTTCAAACGATTATTGGATACAAAAACATATCAAATCTAAATTAACATCAGTTCTTCGATAATTCCAAAAGATATCTGTTTTTATTAGTTAAAGTAATCTAAAGAACAGGATTATCAGTACACTGATATTCAATATAAGATTTTTAATAAGATTTTCAGAAAAAAAATGAAGAAAATAATAAATATTAATGAAAAATAAATCTTTAACTATATTCATATTAAAATATGAATATTGTTCATATTTTCAATATTTTATTAGTAGCTTTTGATTAAATAATGTTTTATTTTGATTTATACTATTTAACAGTGATAAATGTATTAATTTATTGTTCGTAAATTTACTATATTGATTCTTAAAGATTTCTTCATTTGATAACCATATACATATATTAATTAAAACGATAGGATTTTAAAGTCTATCTATTCCTATTCTTCAGTAAATATATCGTTCAGTTTTTTATTTATTTTTAAAATAATATGAAGTAGTTGAAGTTCCACCCATACTATCATAAAAAAATATCTTCAATAATTATATACACTTGATGCTGTTGAATTCGATTTAAATACAAATCATATTTGTTTTAATAATGAGTCATGATGAGTACATAATGAGTGTCTACATGAAAATGCATGATCTTTGTTTTTTAATATAATCAAAAGTTAAAATGATATGTTCCATCCAAGTATAGAAATTTCTTTATTCGTAATTAAGATGTATATGTATCGTTAAAATTTGCATTCAGCGTTATATGCGATTTGAAGAATAGTACCATTTAACTATCTTCATTTTCTGCGTATATTTCTTTAAAATAATTTTTTAATTTACTATTTTTGTAGAAAACTCTGCAGTTTGCGGTGGTACTTCACATCGTGAGAGGAGCTCTTTTTAATAAATCACAAACAATGTCATCAAGTCTATCTATGATGAAACAGACCGGTAATTTTCATACTTCACACAATAATGAAGTTTTCTTATTGAACGTGGGTGGAGAACTAATGTATGCTACACGAGATACATTGACTTATATTCCCAATACAGTTCTCTCGTCAGTCATTCTCTCGACAACCGAAAATCGTTCAAAATTAATTCAACACGATGAAAATGGACGTCTTTTTATTGATTTACCGCCTATTTTATTCAAACATGCGTTGGAACAACTACGTCGATGGAAGAATCGAGGTAATATATCGGCTGA